ACGTTGCGAAAACAAGGTCAGACAACTTCTATATTGCAAAAATAAGGTTAAACAACTTCTAGTTCAGTTACGTTTAAATAGTTAACAAGTCTAGTATGCAGAAGTTTAAAGAAACCTCTAAGCTATTCTGGATAGTATATCATGTAATACAAGCAAACGAAACCAAAATTATCATTATAAGTCGTCTTAGAGAGTGAAACGGAAATTTGCCATGGTTATTCAACGAATAAATGTTAAATTTCAAAAAGACGATTTGAGCGAGTTGAAGTATCTTAATATTAGTAAATTCTTGAAACAATTTCAGTGAAAAGTTTCAGAAGTTTTTCATAGGACAGTTTTAGTACCCTCATCATAGCTTTTTAGGGAAGACTCACTAAGAATCGCTGGGGCACATAGACCACGCGAAGAGGGAATGGACTCCAGAGTGAGCGAGACATCACTCTTAAATGCATTTATGGTGGTAAAATGCCTAGGAATACACAACGTTGAAAAGATATAGTGCTGATTTCAGGCAAATGGGGATAAATCTGTCATGTAATACATTCTGATCAGTAATCGAGCATCCTGAATAAGCATTATAAACATCGGATAGAAAAAGATGACTATTAACGAAGACTTCATCAATGTCAGTTGCCAGAAATGTGAAATAATTTAAATCCTCATTTCCAATGTATATACTGCTTAATATCAACTACAGGGAATTGAAAGAGGTTAGATTTGCATGAAAATGTTAGCCCCCTAAAGAAGCATAACGACCTACATAATTGTCAATAGGGAATATTAAAAGCATGGGAGAAAAATTTTCGGATCATAATAGCAAAAAATAGCCATAAAAAAACTTAACGTGCCTTCGATAATCGGTGAGTATCATGCCTTTCTCGACAGTATTGATCGATTCCATTGACTCCAATGGCTCACTAGCGCCATATGTATCCCTTAATGATACATCATTTCCAAACTCAGGACCCTGTGGCTTCCTTAAATGAAGACATTGCATGTTCGGCCCAGCTTTGGTAGAGCAGTCGGGATGCAGAAGAGAATGATCGAATGCAGCGACTGAGAATAAGGGATTTGAGAAGAGGGGGGTAGCAACAACAGGGGAAGGACAACCAAGCCGCGCAGGATAAGTTAGCTCAGGATAGCCGGGCTCAGGGCAAGAATAAAAAGGAAGCTTGGAAGATAAGGAGGGGTAATGAAAGAAACAAGAGTAAATAAACCTAGTAGATAAAAGTAGTGATATTTAAAAAAACCAATTTTTAATACACTATAAATGATGTGATTAAAGTAGATATCTCTTCTGGACATCATCATATTTTATCAAAACCCAGGAAATCGGGCCAACAAGTTTTTAATATATAAGTTATATATAAATCTGTATATATCTACCGACAGAAAAAATACCTAACCAACCGACGTTCCCTAATTCTCGGACAAGAATGGAAGAAAAAGAAAAGGAAAGATAGCAATCACATCTTTTCTTCCGATTACACTATCAAAGTTCAAATTCTTCTGGGGGTGATGATGAGACCCAGGCGAGATGGAAACTAGTCCACCCAAAAGAAAAATGACTTTTGGAAGCCAAGGCTACGTGAAATTCAATGGAAATGTGAAAACTACTCATACCATTGCGGCAAAATTAAGCCCAGTCCTTCCTCATTCTATGAGACTTATGATGAAAACAACTCTTCTTCAAGATCTATCTGCATTTTCTAAACCTACTCAATACGACTACGAATCCAGAGGTTGTGATAAAAAGAAGTTACACTGTTAACGATATACATTATACACTAAACGAAAGAATGCAACCTTCTTGAGTTCGTTTTGAATAGTTGATCTTAAATAAGAAATAGCTGTATTCTCCCTAGGTCTCATAAAATAATGAAGGACTGATAGTTGAATGTTCCTACAATGATATGATTCGGCCTCAAAATGTGATTAAATCACATTCAGCCTCGCCTACCAAAAGGTATTCTTAGCCAGAGCAGACTGCAGTTTTGACCTAGCCTGAGTCTCATCTACATTCCCAAAAGAAATTGAACCGGGGAAGTGCAGTATATATTCTCGACATACAATCACTACGTCTCACTACTGCAGCTGCAAGTGAGCCATAGGGTAGATATGAATAGGCCCATATCCCAATTATAGTGGCGTCGATCAGGCCAACTTGTATGACATTACAATATACTTCATTAATTATGAATAGGATCCGATTGAAATAAAATAAAGATGGAGAAAAACTCTGAGATTAAATCCCAATGTCAAATAAAATACTTAAGTAAGTTAAAATAATGCCTCCATGAAATGAGTATAATCAGTGCGGTATGTACATAATACCGTGAAGGGAATTTCGTCCCTGACCAAGCAACCAAAGTTTGTCATCAATTGCCATGATCATTATGATCCCTGCCTTTATATAATGAAGGAATTAAACTTACGGGGTTTAGATGAGCCGAGGTAGAGTCCTCTTTTTTTAA